TGGAAACGGCAAAAAAACGGCGACCGGAAACGGCAACAAAAACTGCTCCAGGATTGGAACCGGAGCGGGAACCCGAAAATTACCCTGGCGACGTACCCAACCCTTGCGCAATGCGGGGCATAAGTACATCAGGATTGCCACAACGGGGGCGATGACGTAACATGGACGCATGTGATTTTGCGAGCAGCAATCGGAAGGCTCGCAGCTAAGGGCTACGTAATAACAAATCACCCTCGTTGGCTGTGCCATGCGCCCGTTGCACCCAACGTATCCCGCAGCAGCTCTTGAGAGCCCCCGAGGGATACGTGTAGGCGCAACGCTCTGGCCATCGCCCGGAAGATGCTCTGCTTCACAAACCACCCCCGTTGGCTGTGCCATGCGCCCGTTGCGCCTAACGTATCCCACGGCAGCTCTCCAGAGCCCCCCCAGGGACGGCGAGGTCCCGCTCAGATCCCCGCGGTGCCTCACTCCGCAGGACCCACCAGCAGCCCTCGAAAGTGGCGGCAAGGTCGCAAATCGCAGCCCCCCAGGGACGGCGAGGTCCCGCTCAGATCCCGGCGGTGCCTCACTCCGCAGGACCCACCAGCAGCCCTCGAAAAAAAAAAAAAAAAAAAAAAAGAAAAAAAAAAGTGTCGACAATTTCGCAGATCGCAGCCCCCCAGGACGGCGATGTCCGCTTCAGATCCCCGCGTGCTCTCTACGCTGGACCCACCAGCAGCCCTCGAAAGTGTCGACAATTTCGCAGATCGCAGCCCCCCAAGGACGGCGAGGTCCCGCTCAGATCTCCGCGGTGACTCACTTTGCAAGACCCACCAGCAGCCCTCGAAAGTGGCGACGGTGTCGCAGATCGCAGCCCCCCAGGGACGGCGAGGTCCCGTTCAGATCCGCGCGGTGCCTCACTCCGCAGGACCCACCAGCAGCCCTCGAAAGTGGCGACAGTTTCGCAGATCGCAGCCCCCCAGGGACGGCGGAATCCCGCTCAGATCCCCGCGGTGCCTCACTCCGCAGGACCCACCAGCAGCCCTCGAAAGTGGCGGCAAGGTCGCAAATCGCAGCCCCCCAGGGACGGCGAGGTCCCGCTCAGATCCCGGCGGTGCCTCACTCCGCAGGACCCACCAGCAGCCCTCGAAAGTGGCGACAATGTCGCAGATCGCAGCCCCCCAGGGACGGCGCAATGTCGCTCAGATCCGCGCGGTGTCTCACTCCGCTGGACCCACTAGCAGCCCTCGAAAGTGGCGACAGTGTCGCAGATCGCAGCCCCCCAAAGACGGCGAGGTCTCGCTCAGATCCGCGCGGTGCCTCACTCCGCTGGACCCACCAGCAGCCCTCGAAAGTGGCGACAGTTTCGCAGATCGCAGCCCCGCAAGGACGGCGAGGTCCCGCTCAGATACCCGCGGTACCTCACTCCGCTAGACCCACCACGAAAGTGGCGACAGTGTCGCAGATCGCAGCCCTCAAAGGACGGCGAGGTCTCGCTCAGATCCCCGCGGTGCCTCACTCCACAGGACCCACCAGCAGTCCTCGAAAATGGCGACAGTTTCACAGATCGCAGCCCCCCAGGAACGGCGAGGTCTCGCTCAGATCCGCGCGGTGACTCACTCCGCAGGACCCACCAGCAGCCCTCGAAAGTGGCGACAGTGTCGCAGATCGCAGCCCCCAGGGACGGCGAGGTCTCGCTCAGCAGATCCGCGCGGTGCCTCACTCCGCAGGACCCACCAGCAGCCCTCGAAAGTGGCGACAGCTTCGCAGATCGCAGCCCCCCAGGCACGGCGAGGTCTCGCTCAGATCCGCGCGGTGCCTCACTCCGCAGGACCCACCAGCAGCCCTCGAAAGTGGCGACAGTTTCGCAGATCGCAGCCCCCCAGGGAGGGCGAGGTCTCGCTCAGATCCGCGCGGTGCCTCACCCCGAGGACCCCCCAGCAGCCCTCGAAAGTGGCGACAGTTTTCACAGATCGCAGCCCCCCAGGGATGGCGAGGTCTAATCTGAATCTGCGTAAGGCGTCACTCCGCAGGACCCCCCCCCCAGCAGCCTTCGAAAGCGGCGAACAGTTTCGCAGATCGCAGCCCCCCAGGGATGGCGAGGTCTAATCTGAGATCCGCGTATGGCGTCACTCCGCTGGACCCCCCAGCAGCCCTCGAAAGTGGCGACAGTCACAGATCGCAGCCCCCCAGGATGGCGAGGTCTAATCTGAGTCTGCGTGGGGCGTCACTGCGCTGGCCACCCTCAGCAGCCCTCGAAAGTGGCGACAGTTTCACAGATCGCAGCCCCCAGGGATGGCGAGGTCTAATCTGAGTCCCCTAGGGCGTCACCCGCTGGGCCCCCCAGCAGCCCTCGAAAGTGGCGACAGTTTCACAGATCGCAGCCCCCCAGGGATGGCGAGGTCTAATCTGAGTCCCCGTAGGGCGTCACTCCGCTGGGCCCCCCAGCAGCCCTCGAAAGTGGCGACAGTTTCACAGATCGCAGCCCCCCAGGGATGGCGAGGTCTAATCTGAGTCTGCGTGGGGCGTCACTCCGCTGGCCACGCCAGCAGCCCTCGAAAGTGGCGACAGTTTCACAGATCGCAGCCCCCCAAAGATGGCGAGGTCTAATCTGAGTCTGCGTAGGGCGTCACTCCGCTGGAACCCCCAGCAGCCCTCGAAAATGGCGACAGTTTCACAGATCGCAGCCCCCCAGAGATGGCGAGGTCAAATCTGAGTCTGCGTAGGGCGTCACTCCGCTGGCAACCCCAGCAGCCCTTGAAAGTAGCGACCGTTTCGCAGATCGCAGCCCCCCAGGGATGGCGAGGTCTAATCTGAGTCTGCGTGGGGCGTCACTTCGCTGGACCCCCCAGCAGCCCTCGAAAATGAAGACAGTTTCACAGATCGCAGCCCCCCAGGCATGGCGAGGTCTAATCTGAGTCTGCGTAGGGCGTCACTCCGCTGGACCCCCCAGCAGCCCTCGAAAATGGCGACAGTTTCACAGATCGCAGCTCCCAGGGATGGCGAGGTCTAATCTGAGTCTACGTAGGGCGTCACTCCGCTGGCCACCCCAGCAGCCCTCGAAAGTAGCGACAGTTTCACAGATCGCATCCCCCCAGGGATGGCGAGGTCTAGTCTGAGTCTGCGTGGGGCGTCACTCCGCTGGCCACGCCAGCAGCCCTCGAAAGTGGCGACAGTTTCCCAGATCGCAGGCCGAAGAGAAGAGGAGGGAAGAAAGGAGGAGGCGGGAGGAGGAAGAAGACGCGACCGCAGTGCTCTATTCAAAACGAGAACCCAACGCAGGACTCAGGAGGGTTGGGGAAAAAAGCGACGAAACCGGTGCAAAACGGCGTCGGAACCGGAAAAAAAAGCAAAACGGAACCGCTAAAAAACGGCCATGTCGTTTTCAGGGCCCACTAAGCGCTGGAGGGGAAGAGTGGAGGGAGGCGGCGGGATGACGCGATCACAGTGCTCTGTTCAAAACGAAAAAACCGTACAAGTGGGTTGAGAATTCACGGCGGGGCACCCACTTGGGAGGGGCGGTTCGTACTTGGTGCGCCTACCGCAGGCCCTGACGGGCAAGCCGCCTGAGCAGCCAAGCCTCGGGGATCTTCTGACCTGGGTCAATCCAGACCCGGGTCAGCAGGAAACCAAAAAACTGCAATGCAAGAAAAAAAACCTGCAACGCAGGTCTTCGCAAACCCGGGTCAGCCAACATGCGCGGCCGCCTCGCGGCCACGAGCGGCTGCCGAACCCGGGTCAGCCAGATGGGGTCTTCGCAGGATCCTGCAGGATCTGGTGCCCTGGCTGACCCCCGTTTGCATTGACCCCCGTCTCTTAAGCCCCGAAAGCCAGGCGACCCCCGGCTTCCGGTTCACGACGCAGGTCTCTAGCGGCCGTCCGGGACGATCTGGGCACCCCCGGAACGCTCTCGGCGAGGTGCGGCTGCTGGAACGCGTCCCGGGACCGGGAAGCCGCCAAGAACTGTCGGAAACGCCCGAAAACATCAAACCTCGAACCCCAAACTCCCAAGCTGTCCCCTTGCCCCACGCCTTCCCTCCCCCCCTCTCCCGGGGGCCGCGGGCGCCTGAAGGCCAGACCGATGCAGAAGTAGACCACGGGGACCTGCACCGTGCCCCATCCACCCTCGAGAAATCGAGGAAGAGGGCCTTGGAGGTTTTCAACAAGCTCGGGGGCGTTCTGTCCCTCCTCGGGCCTCCGTCGACTCTGCGTCTCGATGTTATATTTTGTGTACCGCACCGTTCCCTCCTCGAGCAGATGTCACCGCCCGGGGCCACGTTTGGTATACAAAACAACGCCAGGGGGAGGGCACCTTGTATACCAAACCCACGACCAGGACCCTCGCCCAACCCCAGGGCTTTTTGGATATAGCATTTGTTTTCGTCCAGCGGCCCTGTATCCGCGCTCCCAGCGGAGCAAACGACAAACAACAGGCACGCGAACGATGCCCTAAACAGCTCGTGGAACATGAATCACGTACGTAGGCAGAGCCATCCGACCGTAAGCCATCTCAAAGGGAAGACTTCTCCAGAGAGCCTCAAGCGCCAGGCGGCCACTAAGGGCCCCAGGATAACACCATAGGGGGAAGCACGTCCTGACCGCTCAACAAATAAAAAACGAGTCGGATGAAGTGGCGCAAGCATGAATATCCACGGTAGAGCCCTCCAGAGTTCGAGGTTTAGGGACACACGCCCTGGAGAACTTGGAAGAGGAACAAACACGCAATTTACCAGCATGCCCGACTGGAAAACTACGGCTTCAATGCAAATCCCTGCTCCCCATGGCTAGGATTACCACTCACACAGTCCCTGCTGAGGGCGCATGTGCATGCTTCCCGCGCAGGTCATGCGCACAGCGAGAAACCACATCGCAGCGACCACCACAAAGACCATGACGTCGGAGGCAGGCCCGTTCGAAAATGCGACGATGGTGGTGGTCACGACGACACTGGTGAAAGCAATGATGACCCCTACCGTGCTGGGAATGAGTGGATTCGTTTTCTGCACTGAAGCAATAGCACGTTACACTACGATGTTGGCGCTGCTGCCAGAGCAATTGCACGGCACCTTGCCATTTGCATTCCAGTCGTAGCCAAAGAAGGCAAGCGTGATATCAGCTTTGTTCGCGACGATGAACAGCCGATCCACATTGGACAGATAAGGCAAGATGAAGTCTAGCACGCTACCGGCCGCCTTAGAGAAATCACCCGCGTACCATGAGAATATGCGCGATAGCGTGACTGTCTTACTGTCACGGTCTAGGGCGAAGCCTTTCACATTGTTGCTGAGCATGTTTCGCATCTGATCTGTCATCTCAGCGTCGATCGACTCTGGGTGGAAGGCACCAACCCGCACGTTCGGGCAGGAAACTGATGCGCAGACAATACATGCGTGAAGTCGGGCGTCTTCATCGAACGGCTTGGGATCGCGCAAGAAATTTTCAATCTGTTGGAGCGAATAGGTTCTGCCACCGATGTTGCCAGCATCCCTCGTCCACACAGTCGAAATGGGTGTGTGGAAGAGCGATACCCCAATATCTTTGATCGAGCTAATCGGCCCAGTGCAGCATCCAAACACGTTGTGCTTGCAGGGGTGATCGACGATCATTTTCATCGCAAGAGCATTGTATGCATTCATGAACAACGCATACGTCTCGTTTTTCGATAGTGCATGCGTATCTGCAAATTCGAGGCTGGCGACAAACGCTGTGAAGTCTGGATCAGACGCCAGCGCCGAATAGTCCACTGTGTGCAGTGGAACGCCATCCAGTTCATCTGATGAACTCACGTGGGCTTTCATGGCACGGTCCCAAGCATCGTATTGGACAGGTGGTGCACTACACACAAGGGAGGCCAAAATGAATGCGATACTTACTCGAATCATGCGACGAGGTGCAACCTAAAGGACATCTCGATATCCTCACGTCGTGAACCTTGGGCCAAGGCGGATACTGACTGTTCTACGAGAGCAAAGCGCATTCACATACTCAAGCCGCTGGAACTCCCTCCCGGGCCCAGCTCCTGGCACGCGAAGCGCGCCAGAGTGCGGCGCCGGAGGCGCCACCAGGGGTGCGGGGAGGGGAGTCCAGCACCAGCCCAAGACATCCGCGAGAACCTCCAGATCGGGAGCGGCCAAGGGGGGGGTGTCCAAGAGAGGGGGGTGCAAATCATGACCGGCGGCATGTGCGCGGCCCAGCGGGGGGGCCTGGGACGTAATGACATAAGAAGAGGCGCCATGAAATCTGGGGAAAAATCATGGCCCGCGCCATGAAATCCCCCCCCCCCCCTAGTCATCACCCCCCTCTTTTCCGCCCCCGACCAGAAGCCTACGCCCAGGCCGCTCGGGGCCCTCTGAAAAGCGGTGGATGATAGCGGGGGTCACTTCAGCCTCACCACCGAGGCCGCGTCCTGCTGCCGGATCCACGTGCGCAGCGTCCGGAGGCCACGAGCCGGCCACACTCTGCACGTGCAGCGGCCTGGCGCGCCGGGGCACCGCGGGGCGCCCTTTCCCCTCGAGCCCCAAGCCGACCGGCCACAGCTGGGGGAGCTGTGGTCCTTGCCCCCTCCTGGGGGAGCCCATCGCATCGACGATCCCTCGAGAGGGGCGTCGAAGTCGATGGGTCCCACCATGGCGATAAAAACCTCCCGCGGCACTTCCTTCTTCGCCACGCGAGGAGTTCTGGGGCCGACGCCGACAGTACTTGGAGCAGAACCTCCCGCGGAGGTGCCTTCATGACCCCGAGGGGGTCTGTTTGGACGCCCGGAATGGGCACGGAAAGAATGGGTAGAATGCCCAACAGCAAATGTTGTCCCGACCTTCTGCCTCGAATGGACACAGGCCGCGGCGACACCGACAGCGAGTGCTGTTCAAAATGAGCAGGAACTGCTGTTGGGCATTGTACCCATTCTTTCTGTGCCCATTTCATGCGTGCAGAGTCTGGGACTTCCGCCGACCTCTCCCGGCGGGCTGCACGCTGCCGGCCGACTTCCGCCGCCCCGTGACCGACCTGCCGCCGAGAGAGAGCGATGTCATCGTGCTGCTGCCCAGCGAAGGCGCGAGGCCCCTCCCGGAGCCTGGAGAATGAGGAGGAGGAGGAGGAGGAGGAGGAGTGGGGAGCAGGAGGAGGAGGAGGAGGGAGGGAGGGAGGGAGGGAGGGAGGGAGGAGGATGAGGAGGAGGAGGTGGAGGAGGAGGAGGACGAGGAGGAGTAGGAGGCAGACCTCTGGTCCTCGCCCAAGGGCCAGCTGCGGCACGGGTATGCGGCCTCCTGGCAGCTCCTCCACCGAGGCTTGGGCCGGGCATGTCCTCCTACGTGGGCGGATCTTGGAAGGGAAATCCAAAGGAGTCAAGACATAGTCGGAAGTGGTCAGAAGAGCGCGAGATGTCGTCACCAGACTATTGCTTAAGCAATTGTTGAAGACTCCTCCTGCAGAGAGGCACGCCCGACTTGAACCAGGGCTGAAACCCACCTGGGAGGACGGATGGTACCGACGTCGCTACTCTTCGGGCCTCTCCCGGGGCGACTTCTGACCAAGATTTCGAGGCGAATCCAGCAGTGGCAGCGAGGGATGGGCCGCGGTATCGGAATCTTTTCTGCTCTGACTACCAGGCAGCCCCAAGAAGAGCGGAACAAACAGCTGCATAAGCATGAACTGTCTTAGCTCCGCCAGAGCTCCGAAGGGTTCCGCCCATGCATGTGTTTCTCGCTCGATTCCCAGACTACTGAGCAGCCGCAAGAATCGAGGAGCACCGGCACTGTCCCGCCCCAGCCAGGATGACCGTCCCGACGCGTGCCCTGACAGTTCCAAGGCCCCCCCCCTGATGCCTGTGGCTCCACTGGACCCTGGGGGCACATGGTGGCGAGCGCTGCTCCACCGAGAGAGTGCTCGGGGACCCGCCAAGCTGCGTCATACCTGGGCGCTTCAACAAAGGGGCGTTGAAACACTCGCCGTCGCTCGGACGTCCATACCCTGCGTTTTTTCGCCAAATGGTCAAGGATGCTCCTCGATGGTCCTCGCCGAGAAAAAAGCACACGTCCGAGCGATGCAAGGAACATGGGGCCCTAGAACGTGCGGAGGCCCTCATCTTGGCACAGCCGACCCGGAATGGGTACGGAAAACATTGATATGATGCCCAACGGCAAATACTGTCCCAAACCCACAGCGACCGCTATTGGGCAGGCGACCTTTCGTCCCAAATGCACAGAATCCACGGCGACGCCGACAACGAGCCCTGTCCAAAATCTACGAGAGCCGCTTTTGATCTTCGTGCCCATCCTTTCCGCACCCATGTCGGCCCTACTGATCACCCACGCAGATCCCGCCGGAAGCCCCTTCCTGTGCTCGGGGGCCCGTCCCTCCAGGCCCCGTCTCCGAACGAGCCCCCGGATGCCGAAGAGTCGGCTGCACGCAACAGTGACCCTAGGCTTAAGTCGGGCCTGTCCCCCTACAAGGGGATTTTCGACGAAGAAGAAGAAATACCCAAAAAATAATCAAAAAATAGTTTTAAAAAAAATAATCGGGACTATTTTGTAATTTTCTAAACCTTTTGGGGGCATTTTTGAAGTATTTCTATCTGTCGTCGAAAATCCCCCTGTAGGGGGACACGCCCGACCTAATCCTAGGCAAGAATGACCCTTGGTGCGCGGCTTATTATAGGGGGAGCTCGGAGGGGCCCCAGAGCGCGCAAGCCACTGCCATCGCATCGCCCCTTCTCAACGATCGGGGAGCCCCAGTGGGCACGCAGCGCAGGTCGCGCTGGCCAAGGGTCAGTCTCCACGTGCAGTCGACAGAGGAGCCCCGCGGGCGGGCCCGCCAGTCGGCGGCGAGCCCAGGAGGGAAGTGAAAAGGGGCGAACATTCTCAGATTGGAGGCCTGGAGATGGGCACCAGCACCAACACAGGGGGTTGCCTCCACAGGGGGAAGATGATCCGAGATTTCGGTGTTGGTGGCAATCTTTCGGCCACCTTGGAAGCCAGGATATTACCACCATCACCGAGATCGGGATCTTCTTCCCTCGGTGGAGGCACACGGCCGGTCTTGGTGTTGGTGTCAACCTCTAGGCCTGCGATAAGAGGGCTTGGAAGTCCCCCGGCCCTCTGCAAAGTTTCCCAAGCCTTCCCCGAAGCCGTCCAGAAAACTTCTCAGGAGGCGCGGGGGCTTCTGAGCAGTCCCGCCGCCTTCCGAGAAGGCCTTCTGCTTCTGATTTCCCCCCCAGGCGCGCCACCGAATTTGGTTTTTGGGTCGTAACTCGGCTCTCCGGTGGCCGTTCGGGACAATTCGGGCACTTCCGGAACGCTCTCGGCGAGGCGCAGCTGCTGGAACGCACCCCGAGGCTGGAAAGCCGCCGAGAACCTACAAGAACGCACGAAAACCTCGAACCTCGAACCCGGAACCCGAAACACTTCCGCCCGCCTCGCTCGCCGCCGAGCCAGGACGGCGCCGGGGCCGCCGCCATCGCCCGAGCTCATGGTGGGCGGTGGCCGAAGCCGCCCCAGCGCCGCGGCAGCGCGGCGGCGGCGCCCCGAGGGGACCGACGTGGCGGCCTCGCAGCGGCAGCAACGCGGCCCCACCCCTCGGCCAGCACTGCCAGGGTCAGCAGCCAGGTGCTTCCGTCGACCTCCGGCGGGCGCCGGCGCGGAGGAGCGCCAGAGCGCGCGCTTCGGGAAGGCCAGTCACCCCTCCTCCTCCTCCTCCTCCTCCTCCTCCTGCTCCTCCTGCTCCAAGTTCTCTTCCTCTTCCTCCTCCTTCATCCCTCCTATTCCTCAAACTCCTCATCATCCTTCTTATCCTCCTTTTTTGTTCTTGCGCTGCAAAGACGTAGGCTGGCGTAGTATGCCGTTGAATATTTCCTCCTCCTCCCCCCCTTCTTCCTCCTCCTCCTCCTCCTCCTCCTCCTCCTCCTCCTCCTCCTCCTCCTCCTCCTCCGTCTCTTCTTCCTCCTCCTCCTCCTCCTCCTCCTCCTCCTCCTCCTCTGTTCTGGCGATGCACAGACGCAGGCTGGTGTATGCCGTTGCGCCTTCCC